CTTCTTCTTCTTCTTCTTCTTCTTCTTCTTCTTCTTCTTCTTCTTCTCCTCCTCCTCCTCCTCCTCCTCCTCCTCCTCCTCCTCCTCCTCCTCCTCCTCCTCCTCCTCCTCCTCCTCCTCCTCCTCCTTCTTCTTCTTCTTCTTCTTCTTCTTCTTCTTCAATACTCTAGTAGGATTGTGATGTGGTGTTTGGGGCACTGTGCTGGTGTAGCTTTCAAATTTCATTGTATTTGTGGAATGCGATGACAACAAAGGTATTCTATTCTGTTCTAACAATTAGCGATCATGATGATCTGCTCCTACCTTGGTCTTTCACATTTTACTAGGCGGGATGCCTGTTGCTGTAACTGAGTGTAACATATCAATATGGAAGTTGATTGCAATACACATTGTAACGGGAGAGAAAGAAAAGGTTGGATAGAATTTCAGGAAGCTCAAATCTTGGACAGACTCTTTACAGCTTCTTTATGCAGATTTCTATTGAAGATTCAATCTGAACATCAACATGAGTACCAGAACCTCCCTTGACAGCCATCCTGAAACACTTTTCTAGTTAATGTAAAGGCTACTGGAGAGGCAACTTGGTGTAGGTGTTAAAAAGAGATAAAAGACCATGAGTTCTATTCCTGCCTTAGGCACAGAATCCATGGAGTAACCTTGGGCCAGTCACTTTCCCAGCTCTAAGAAAGGAGCAATGGTAAACCAGCCATGAAAAACCTTGCCAAGAAAATTGCTGGTACTTGTCTAGGCAATCTCTGCCTAGATTACGATTGGACACTTCCTGCTTGCCTCCGCGAGGTTGGGCCAACTACCACATTGGGAGGTGAGAATGGATGAGGAAGTGTAAATGCTACCTGCTGAGAAAGCAACTTGCCCAAATTTTCTCATACTGCATCAACTGTATCTTTCCACTCCGCACTGCATGGAGAACATTCTGCTCCATTTGCTGCACTTCATCCTCATTCACTCAAATGCTGCTTTTCCAATTGGATAGCCCTGTCCCCATTTGACTTAGTGTCAGGTTCAGTAACCTGAAATACAGCTTTGCCTTCTCTTCTTTTTCCTGCCAAGGTACCACTTACAAACCCAGGTTTGTAAGTGGTACCTGGGTTTGTTGTTTTCAGTTTTCAAAAGTCATACTCATAGAAAGGAAGCAGTTGGCTATTTTATTTGTGTTTATATTTTTCTGCGGAATAAGTTGTAAATATTTTAATGGGCCTTCTTCCCATCTTTTCAATATAGCGAAGTAATATTTGGCTGTACCTACTATGGAAAGAGTGGGAGGAGAAAGCAACTGCGGCAACTAGCATTCTGGGTTTTCCAATATGACTTATAGAGTGAAAACTTACTCAGCCTTTGGATTATTCACCACTAATATTATTTTGTGCCTTTGAATCAGTTTTTGATTCGTGGTGACAGGCCTGGATAGGTTCCTTCAATTTTCTTGGCAAGATTTCAGAAGTGGCCTCCCATTTCCACCTTCCTAGGCTAGTGGGAAAGTGACTAGCCCAAAGGCACTCAGTTGGTTTTGTGCCTAAGGTGGGACTAGAACTCACGATCTCCTGATTTCTAGTGTGGTGCCTTCATTGATACACCAAACTGGCTGTCCTGAAGTCATACTTAAAGAAGTCAGCCATAAGTTGTATTTTTTAAAGGATAAAGAATACTGTAATAATGCAATAACAGTGTTAGATGATTTTAGGATGTTTATTAAACTTCTGTTTCACAAATGATTTATCATATCTTACTTTCTTCTAGGAAATACAGTCTTTACTTTCTCTCTGTGACGGAAGGTTCAGCAGTTCACAAGAACTGAGATTAAAGGTAAGTATTAGATAGAAGATGAAATGTGTTTTTCATGAGATTGTTTGGGGAAATGAATATTTTTGCAGCCAAGCTTTAATCTTAATCATGATAAAAATCTTATGGTATATTGTACCTAGGATAATAAGGAATGTTATTCTAATTACATTGATGCAATGTTTCATTTGCATGAAATAATTTGAAAAGTATAATGTGGGAAACAAAAATATTTCCTGTGAAAAATGTTGACCATTGTTCAGTGCCATGAAAATGCAGACTATGTTCCCAGAAACGGTATGCATATATATTGAGCCCTTTTTTGGATCTGAGATTTTTCTGGCCACATGTCTAAACTTTGAGAATTGATACCATATCTTTAAGTTGGGTGACAGAATACCTATTATCCTTGGCAGCTGGCCCTGTCCTTGCAATCTCTGGATAATCATGGAAGTCTGAAGGACATCACCTTTTCTTGAGACTTCCTTTGAGGAGCAGATAGGCCAAGAAAAGGAGCATTGTCTTGCCAGTGAACCCTGCTTTGAAACAGAATAGAACAATCTGGGAGCCCTGAATTCCAGAATTCTATGATTGCTGAGCAGAATATATGGATAGGTTCATCCCTGGAATGAAAATGAGCCATTTGCTTCCTTATCTTGGCATTTATGTGACCATACAGGTAGTCCTTGATTTACAACCACAGTTGACCCCAAAATTTCCATTGCTGAGTGAGATAGTTGTTAAGTAAGTTCTGTTTCATTTTACAACCTTTTTGCCACAGTTGTTCAACGAATTACTGCAGCTGTTAAGTAAATCATCTGGTCATTAAGTGAATCTGGCTTTCCCCATTGACTTTGCTTGTTGGAAGTCGGCTGGGAGATTACAAATGGTTATCACAGGACCCCAGAACAGTGCAACTGTCATAAATACATGCCAATTGCCAAGTGCCTGAATTTTGATCACGTGATCATGGAAATGCTTTATTATTACCATTAGTGTCAGAGTACAACATGTGTAAAATGAGATTGGCTGAGCCTCCCTTCGTGCATCCCGCCCCCAACACAACTCACAGTGAGGATAGAATTCCCTAACCCAGTCCCAATCTTATTACACCATGTGACCTTGTTGCACAATGCGGCAAGCCTGTCAAGTCTGCTGCAATGGTTGTATGTGTGAAAAATGGTCATAAATCATTTTTTTCAGTGCTGTTGTAGCTACAAACTATCACTAAACAAATGTTTGTAAGTTATTAACTACCTGTATTTAAACTCCTGCAAAATATCTTGTATCTCTCTGTGCCTCTTTTATTGGACTGATGAGAGATTTAAAAAAAATGTGGGCCTTTTTTTCTTCCCAGTTTTTTGGTGGAATTTCAGGGACCAACAGTTTCAAATCTGGTCCAAATTTGGGGTCACTAAAATATTTCATGAATCAGTTTCCAGACCCTTGTTGGCTAAAACAAGCAAACAAAGCAAGCAAGAAAAAAAATTGTTTCCAATATGCACTGGGAATATATTTTGCTATATTTTATCTTCATTTCATATTTTTCAACATGTCTCCCCCTCCCCTTTTCTCTAATTTGTATCTTGGCAACTGCCACCAATGTATCTTGCTGGACATTTAAATAGTATTTTCCAACAAAGCACTGTACATCATCTGTTCTTCTTTGTAATTAATTGGTTTCTCCCTAAGGAAAGCTAAAGTTCTACTCTAGAGCTTTGCTGTCCTTAGTAGCATCAGTTCAGGCCTGATGTGATAGTTACTAATTAAAGGAAGAGCACCAAATAGGTATTGTGAACAGCAAGATTGCAACTCTCCAGTGGCAGAGGTCATAAACAGTGCAATCCACCCCCTTCTTCACAAATGGAAGGTACAGTTGAATGGGTAGCATCATCTGTTTTATATTTTTCTCTTCTCACGTTCAATTGCTTCTGTCCCTTCCGGATCAGTGGGAGACAACGTGGAAAACATGAATAAAAACATGGGAGGATTAATTAGATAGCTGTCCTAAGTGTAATCATTAGGAGGAGAGAGGGATCAGATACTTAGGCTTACCATATAAAAGTTGCAAATGTTGGTTATACATTCATGAAGTTCAATATACTTTTTTGATTCCACATAGCAAACATAATGTAAGGGTGTAAAATTCGAAGTGCCCCATGGGGTTTATTATCATGCATTCATAATGGAAGCAGAAAGAAGTTTAATTCTTCAATCTCAGGAACTATAGGAATTATTTTTTTGTTGATGTTTGCTGACCACTGGTTTAACTGAACGGGAATACAGACTTTAAAAATAAAGATGATGTTATTTGCAGCTGAATAGCTTTGTTGGTGCATACTGGAAATTAACATTAAAAATCTCATTAATGGTTCCTGTATTTGAAAGAAGAAAGATAGAGCAGGGGTTGCCAACCTTTTGGACCTCAGGGACCACCAAACTCATAATTTTAAATCCCGCGGACAAGAGACCCTGGGAAAATTCCCAAAAAAGTCTGCAGGAAAATTCCCCACCTTGTTTTCCTACTGATCGATAATTCTTTATTTGGGATCACAGGATACCGTCTCCAGCTCTGTTTTCAGGGGGGAGGGGCAGAGAGAGACTTTTGGCTTCATGCAAAGAAAGCAGCAGAAGCAGCAGAAGTCTTTCTTTCTCTCCCCCAAATTCTACCAGAAATGAGTCTTTGTGAGACTTGTTGCTCCGGCGCAGCCTCTTGAAGCAGGATGCCTTGCAGGGTCCCAAAGACTCATTTCTGGCAGAGTTTGGGGGAGAGAAAGAAAGACTTCTGCTGCTTTCCTTGCGTGCAGCCAAAAGCAGAAGAAGAAAGAAGTGGAAAGAAGCAGCCCAGTGGCCAGGCGAATGTGGGGTGAGTGGGGCAAGTTCCCCCCTCCACCCTTTCCCTTATGTTGTTCGCAATGCAAGCGATGCAAACCTTGTGTTCCTGCGGGCCATATGGGCAGCGCAGTCTTGTGTTCCTGCACAGCCTGGATTAATTGTTGGGGGGGGTGCTTTGGGGATGACATTTCTCTGCGGACCACCAAAATTTTCTCACAGAGAAAATCCCTGGCCCACTGATTGGCAACCACTGAGATAGAGGATAACCACAGATTTTCATGCTTTAAATGTGAAAATATTGCAGAATGGATTATCTAGCTTTAATAAAATCTTTAAATTACCTGTCTCATAAACTCTGCCTGCTCATCCAAGGACACAAAAAAAATCCTGCTGAAAATCCCATGTAATTTATCCCCATCTACCCCACTCCGCCATAGGTAGCTTCCACTCTTCCACCCCTCTAGAAGCTCATTAAAACTTGGTTGTTTCAGAAAGCCTTTGGGAACTGAATGCTCTAGAGTGCCTGCTGTCAGGGTTACTATACTAATTATAACGCTTGCCTACTATAATTATATGTTGTATTTCCATTATGATTGCACTGGCTGTGGCTGCTCCTTTGCAATACCACGTATTGTAGTTTTGATGGAAACATTTTATAAATGCTCCATAAATACATATGAAAAAAGAAACAAAGAAAGAACGGAAAGAAAAGAAAAGTTGTAGCTGCCTAAATAACGATGTTATCGATTGCAGTGCTGTTCCTTGTAATAACTGCTGTTTTTTTTCCTGACTTCAGAGCCCATTTTGGATTCTTGACTTGCCTTCGGAAGAGATAGCTAGAAGACTAATGAAACGAACAGTATGTGCAAAGTAAGATTGATGTTGTTAAAAAATAACAATAAAAGAGGGAGAATATCTCTGCTTCCCTTCTGCATTAAGGTTCCCTTTAAGCTCTCTCATCCTTTTTCTCCAGCACAGGTGGAAATCTCCCTCCCTCTCTCGCTGCCAATGCCAGTAGAACTTTGACTAGCTTAATGAATTGCAGTGTTGGAGTGTCCTGCTTTAGTCGTCCTCTCTAGGGTGTTTAACAGATTAACACTTGAAAGGAACCTTGTAGATCATCTAGTCCGACCTCCCTCCCAAGCAGGAGACCCTACACCATTTCTGACAAATGGCAGTCCAGTCTCTTCTTGAAAGTCTCAAGTGATGAAGCTCCCACAACTTGCGAAGGCAAGCTGTTGATTTACATCTGTGTTAACATCTTATCAAAAAAGAGACACTATATGTTTACTGTTTCTATGCATGAGACGAAGTGATTTCAGGTTTGGTTTCTGATGGTGTGATGCAAGGAATTTTTCTTTTGTATGTTTTATTTGGTCCTTTTGTACAAATACCATTAAATGACTTGAAGTTGTACAGAATCAGTATTGAAAATTTTATTCATCTCTGCTGCAAAGCCACTGGAAGTAAATATGTAATCCTTATTTTGTAGACTTTAGAGAGGTTTAGTCTCTGGACATATGCTAAACTTTGACAGAAATTTGCTGCTGCTCATTAGGACGTTATTTATTAATACAAGATTGAGAATCAGATGTTCTCTGCTTGAGATACTCTTTACAGAGAGCTGTCAAAAGAGATTGCATCTTGGCAGACTTACTTTTCAACATCTCTATTAACCCCTTAATATAATTAAGATTATATTCTATTATATTCTACTGTCTCTTGGTTACGAGCAAATCATATTGGTGCCACATCAAGGTAGCAAATTCTTATCAACAAGAATTAGTAGGCTTACAAACCAAGAAAATTATTCTAAAGAGGACCTTCTACCTCCTTTCTCTTCCTGACTTCCCTAATACAGGATGGCATTTTAAAAATAAGATTGATTGTGGTCATATTGGCAATATAGTCAGATTGATTTTTAAATATGTCCTGAAAATATGTCTTCGCCCTTGTGAATCGAGAATGATAAAAAAATAATGTCCATTTGTTATGGTTTTTTTGCACTATAGATTTTTGACACATCAAGTGCATTATATCTTTTTTCTTGCATTTTTCTAACACGTCAGAGCAATTTTATGACTGCTGTTCAAGAAAGACAATTCTGATGTATATAACACAATAACATTTAGCGTCTAGCTTGAGGTAACACTTAGCCCATCATTTTGGTCATCTTTTAGATTGTCAGTTGATTTCAACTTCAATTTTATTTTGCACATTTTACCACAGTTTTAAGCAGTGAATGTCTATATGTGAATGTAATGTATATTTGTGTATGGGTCTGTATATATTTTTTCTTGTAATAATAATTCACTGCTCTTATATTATTACATAGTGTAGGAGTAGTCACGGAACCTTGAGAGCAGAGTCAAAAGAGGAATCAGCCTAGAGTATCTAAATAGTCACAAATGGATGAAGTCCAGCCTCTCCTGAATTAAGTTAATCCTTAACCAGCACCAAAATAGTGCTGTTAGTTGAGTAGATTCTTGTGCATAGGCATGACTAGTAATAAATAAGTGTAATTGGAACATCACGTATGGTCTTGGTCTTTTGTGCCTGATGCACAGTTTTATAAACATGCTACAGGCCTTTGGCTCTGAAAAAATATTATCTATATATCTTTTAAAGTAAATTTATAAATTCTGTTTGAAATAACCACATTTGTAGAGAGAGTGGAAGTTTTTAATCAAAGTAGGATAAAAATGTTCTTGAAAGCCTGTATTTATTTGCTTTCAGATCAATATTTGAGCTGTGGGGTCATGGGAAATCTGTAGAAGAATTGCATTCTTCATTGAAGAATTATCCACTAGAGAAAATGGTTGGTATGAGAAAAAAATGTAAACTTTTTCATTTAGCATTTTCTTTTGTGCACCATATACCCTATACCATAATAAAAAAAACTGTCTTGCTTTGTTTTAGGCCCCATATTTACAGTCCAACTTCACCTACAAAATAATAGTCCATGCATTCAACAAAACGCTAACACAACCAGAGAAGATTCAAAGAATAGATGTAAGTAATAGTTCAGTTCTTCGATTGCTTAAATATCTATTATTTTATAATATTGCAGAGGGAAAACATAACAGAAGTACATACATTGCAGCCTAGATAACATAACTTTGGAGAGCTAACATTCTTTTGTTGTTGTAGACATAAACCACAATTGCCTCTGTCCTGTCTTCTTGCCTGAGGCACAGCCAAGTTGTCCTTGTTCATTCATTCAATAGTGTAACATTGCAAAGCCTTCATGTGCTCAAGAATTCATTTCATGCCTCCATGTGTATTCCCAGGGCTGCAACCAAGTCTCAGACTAAGCTTCACGAAGCCCTCATGATATGTTCACATTTCTCTCTCATGAATTAACTATGAAAGGCATATGTACCTGTACCTAGAATTTAAGAAATTAATAATAGAAGAATTATGGACTTCTGTCTAATATTTATTTAGCTTTATTGGGTTTTGTTTCTTAATTTTATATGCTTATTTTATTTTTAAATAAAATGTGTTTAAATTTGTTTTGCTGTTGTGTTATATGATCATGAGCATTTGGGAGACAGGTGCTTATACAGTACAAATATGCTAAATAAATACCTACATAAGCTGTAACCTAGACTCCTCTACATCACTGTTGATCTGTTGGTTTCCTATTAAAATTTAATTAGCTTTAAAGTCTTCCTAGCCCGGGGCTCAGAATTCTTCAAGTCGAGTCAGTCTTCCACTCATTGTTTTTCAAGTCAATGAAGAGAGCATTGTTTGCTCTGTGCCTTTTTTCAGACTATGTTATATCATAAGGCACACCATCAATGAATGATCCATGGGTATCAGGCAATTGCCCAGTTCTCCATTTGTGCTATTCAGCACTCCGTCATTGTTTTGCTAAAAATTGGTGATAATATGACCAAATTTCTGTGGCAAGATTTTACATGTTTTTCCTTAAGGATGGGCATGACGCTTTTGATGATCCAAAATCACTATTTGTGGGGAGGAGAGATTTGGAGGATTTACTTCTTAGAAGTTTCCTGTGTCCATTAACACTCTAAAACATAACATAAAACAAAAAAGGGCTAAATAATTTAATTCTCTGCATTCCGGGGAGATCACTGGATGTCCCCTTACAACTTTTAGGAAACTTACAATGCTCTGCTTTAGCCTCCCACCTTGTAGATCTATGAAACAATCTCTTTATAAAGCCTGTCAACTTTCTTGATTTCTTCTCACTTCAGATAGCATAAAAATAGCCTTCATATTTGGTTGCTCAATTGTCTTAAATATGATATATTCAAGGTGGGGCAACTACAGTCATCCACCATCTTGAAATTTTGCAACTCCCATCCCTCCAGCACACTTCGAGATTCAGCTGGACAATTTTTCAGTTTTGTTTAAGGAAGTGATTGTATAGAAATAGTAAAATATATAGGAGTAGTAGCGTATTGTGGTTCAAAATGTAAAAAAGAAATGTCCAAGTAGCTAGCCAAAAGTTAGAAACCAGCAGATGTGACTCTGCTTACATACTTTTGAATTGTGTATGAACAAACCTGTTTTGCAATTCCAACCACGAAGATCCTAGATGTTGGGAAAAGAGAAGAAAGGATTAGTTTTGGGCATGCTGCGTACATTTGCTCGGAAAACCATTGCACGAGCCTCCTATCGAGAACAATGGCTGATGTTCCATGTCTGAGGGTGAATACTTTGGCTGAGCAGAGTGGAGGCAGGCAGAGACCCTAAAGACCCTGAGCAGAGTGGAGGCAGGCAGAGTGGAGGCAGGCAGAGACCCTAAAGGGTCCTGGGAGGCAAGAGGAGTCTGTCCCATCTGAACAGCAACTTGGGAGGGCCAGGCTACAAAGCCAACAATCTGTTAGTAAGAGAATGGGGAAAAAAAAGTCAAATTACCCCTGGGATAGCCTGGCAGGATTGCCTGCATTGATATTTACCCTCCCCAAAGATCCTGGCAGTAAAAAGTGATTAGGTGAATTAAAACCCTCTACAGTTTTGATTTTAAAAAACACATGCAGCTCAAGACTAAAGCAATTATATATGCTCAATGACCCTCAAAGGATGAAAAAAAACCCGTGATGACCCGGGGCATGGCACAAAGGCACCACAGTCAGATAATCAGTAAGAGTCCCTTTAATAGCTCTAACTTTGCCCCCAATCTCCAGGTTGCCTTCTGGCTGGAGAAGAACTCTCCCAGGAACAGCCTTTAACTGTAGGGAATCAAGTCCAAAACATGGTCAACAAAAACTGTAACTTTAAGTCAATCAAGCCAAACTGAGGTAATTAGTTTAGCAGGGCAGGAACAAGGATTCCAGATGTGAAGGCACGGCAAAACTCACACGGTTGGAAAGACGCCAGGAACACAGATAAGCAAAGACAACACAGGATAAAGTCACGGTTGCTCCCAGCAGCTGCCACAGCCAGCATTCAGTTCTTTTAAACTTTCATCCCAGGTGTGGCTAATGAAGGGAATCAGAGCCATTTCCTCCCTTGTAAGCCACACAACCCAAATTACTCTCTTCTCTGTTCCTCCCTGCGTGCCCTAGGATGAAGAGGGGGTGGGCCTGGGTCTTCCTCTGAACTCCCTCTCCCTTGTTCTCTCTTTCCCCTGCTCTGCCCAGCTGGACTTTGCCCTTCCTCAGCCTCCTCCACAGCCAATGGAGCCACACTCCCACTCCCTGTCATTCTCCTCGGATTCAGACTGACAGGCATGACAAAAAACCCCAATGTTTAAAAAGTGTATATTCCATCAGGAATGCATAACACAATTGATGCATTTTGGTTTTAATAGATGACCAGTGCTATATTTTTTATTCTATGCTGCTTTATTAACTTGTAAAAAATAATCTTTTAGCTTAAGAATAGTACACATTTTATGTTTTGGCAGTAGATGCCTTCTATTATTTGTAGCACACCTATTATCATAAAAGTAAGGAGGATACTGTAGATAGGGATAAAAAAATATCACGTATATAATACTGTTGATTAATGCATTGTTTCCAATTCCTCTCTTCTTCTCCCCAACCTTCCCCTCACACCATGTAGTCTTTGCAGTTTTTACCATTTAAAGGACGTGTAGATTTAAATAATCCAGATCACACATTTTGGTTTCTAGAAGATCATGGAATTTATCTAGGCAACAGTACAGAACAGCCTATTAGCTTGTACTTTGGAAGATGGGTGAGTAATGTACTACATTAATAACGAAATCATTGGTTTTTAAAACAATAACAATACAACCATGGCAGATTGGCAGAGTGGAATATGAAAGAAGTAAATGTTGAAGAGTACGACTTTATGGATGAAATAAAAGGAAATAGATGTACTATGTGTCTCAGAATTGTTAAAGCTTAGATACTGTATATGTTCTCTTTATAATTTTCAAGTTAGTAGTTGAACTCTATTATTTTGAAAAGTAAAATAATATTCTGGACTGGAAAGCATATTAAGAGTGCTGTTCTTAATGTGTTCAACATGGTAACTTGATAAAATCTACGCCTCTGTGTGTTTGTTAAAAATAATTTTTTTTTTTAAACAAGTTTTATTTTTCAAGACAAACAATACATAAATACACATAAACACAAAACATAAAAGTATAAAAAATCTCTTTTCTGAAAGTTGCTTAGTCCCGGGTTAAAACTCTTGGTACAGACACAAATTGAATTTCATATTCATTTTACATACCATTTCATATCTTCTTAACATTTTCAATTTTCTATATAACTTCTCCTCTCCTTTAAATTTTCTCAATTTTATTTCATTTTTATTTTTTTATCTCCTCTCAATTCATATCGTAATATTTATTATTCTTTGTCTGTTCTATTCCAGCCAATCATTTATTTTTCTTCTTTAAAAAAAAAAGAAGTACTTCTCCTATACACTATATGGAGTTAAAAATAATTTTTTATTTGTTTTTGTATGTTTTAGAAGTGCTTGGTAACCAAAATAAATATTTCTTGTTCTTTTTTTCTCATTGCCTTCCCAACCATGTATTCCACAGATTGCCAATGGACAAAGAGAACTTATTGAATCTTACAGTGTTAAAAAAAGACATTTTATTGGGAACACGAGCATGCATTCCGGCTTGGCTTTTATCATGGCAAACCACGGAAAAGTAAAACCAAACAATATTGTGTTTGATCCTTTTGTGGGAACAGGTATCCCTCCTCTCTTTCCTCTCCTCCAAACATTATTAAGGAAAAAAGACATGAAATGTTTTACATTTATAATCTGCTCATATTTTATTTTTATTTCACTAAATTTATCTCGTCATCTCCCAAGTTTTTAGATAGAAGAATTTGCTTTTGGGAATATGCAGTTTCTACAGACCTTTGGCAATCTAGATGTTGCTAAACAACAATTCCCCAGCAGCCTCAGCCAGTATGGAAATGCTGAAGCATATTGTGAATGGGAGTTAAGCAACACTGAGAATGGGTACTTGGGCACGGGTTTTCCTTCCTGCTGGTAAACAAAGTTATACAGATGCAGTATATATCGTCCACATATAATTATGCAACTTCCTCAGTAATCTAAATGTGATTTACTCCCTAGGCTCATGCCTTCTTTATAAAAACTCTAATGTTAATCTTTAGCTTTGGAGTTTCATTATAACCATACCAGATCACTGCTTAGAATTTACAACTACCAAAAAATATTCAGCTTAATTGTTTTATTCATGCAGTTCCTGTTGCAATTGATATCAGAAGTCATTGGCTTCAAAGAAACTGCAGCATCAGTCATATACCCTGGAAGCAGTTCAAGAATACCTGTTTGATGACTAAAATCTCAGCAGTGATTCATCCAGAAGGAAAAAAGAAACAAGGATAGTTTATATCTATGACATTGCCCCACTATGGTTCATTCCAGTATAACCTCTCAGAAATCCCATACATTTGGACTGACAAAAACTGGTTTATAGAATATTTTGGAAAGGAATACAGATGTTTAGGACTGAGGAGCTGGTGGCTTTATGCAAAGGAATTTGGAGATGGGGAAGATAGGAACAAGATGCTAATAGGTGAATCAAAGAATGGGCCATTAATGAGGGACTTGGAAAAGGGATTGCACACTCCTGAGACTGAAGCAAATATGACAAACTCAAGGTAATCCTGTCTTGATTTCATATATTTCGTATAAGACAGGACAAAAAAAACACTTGGAGAGGCTTTGAAAATTGATGTCAGCCCTTCAGATTCAAGAAACAGAAGACATTGCTGGAATTCTAGAAGAATTACACTGTTATAGGGCACAAGTGTTGATTCTTGAAAGCTTCTTCCAAATTTCCTTCTACTCATCCTGTATTGAAGAAAATCAAGACAGGGTCATCTTGAGTTTCTTTCTGATCTTGCTTCAATTTCTGGACTGTAATTACTTCTCCAAGTTCCTCCTTAATAGCTCATATCTTCCTTCCTGCCTTTAATGGTTATTTCAAACCTTCCCCAAGGTCATGCTTAGATTCCTTTATTGTCTATAATTATTTGATACTATACCTTCCTTCTTACACTAAAGTGTATGAAAAAAATTCCCCTTAGGATTTGTATGACCAAGGAAGCTATCTGTGTGCTCTTTGCTCTGAACAAATTTCAGATTTTATACTGAAGTTAATCATAGATCTTTTAAAAATTTGCTGTGTTGTCTAAACAATGCTATTTCTTATGTGACTCCAGATATTCCTTCAATTAGTTGTTTTTCTTGAACAAAACAGTAGAGGGTGCTTGTGTCACACGTTGTATGAGATGCACTTTTTGTATGACATAATTGGTTCAAAATCAGGTATGCGCTAAGTAGCAATAGATTAATTTTGCTACAAAGACAGTTTAAATATTAATATTTAAAACAATTTGCACTAGTGAGAAAAGGTGAGACTTCTGGCAGTAAAATTAAATGTTCATGGCCTGAGGGCTGCCTAAAACAATTGTCAAAAATTATTATTTCTGCGTGATGATGTCAGTCGCCTAGTCTATGCTACACAAACAAGGCAAAATATTTAGGCACTCCAAGTATGTTGGGAATGACTATTTTTATGAATAGTCATGCTCCACCCTACTGTGGAATATTTGGTGAATTATAATAAGCATATTTTATTCCTTTTCTTTGGCTTGCAGGTGGACTTCTTATAGCTTCTGCACACTTTGGAGCATATGTCTGCGGCACAGATATAGATTATAATATAGTACATGGGTTGGGTATGTCCTTTTCATTATTTACTAGTAAAAATTAATTCATTACGTAAGTCCCAAAACAGCTCCTGAACCCAGGAAATTTATCAGACAGTAGCAATTACTCACTACCTCACATGGCCTTTCTCATAGTGAGCTATGATAGGCAGGCAATTTTACTATCAAAAGAAAATGCAGTTGAATTTTACTCTTGATTGTTCAAGGAAGAGAGTGCCTTTCTTCAGATTAAATTTTCAGTCACATGGGACTTTAAGTGGCTGTTTTCAAAATAGAATGATGGTTGATTATCCAAAAAATCTAGGGGATGTAATCAACTAGTCGTGTATGCATAAAATCCCAGCCAAAAGTTGAGAGTCATGGGTTGATTTCCTTATAATGTGTTGATTTAGGTAGTCGTCATTTGTAAAACCAGAAGGGAAATTGCAACCACACTGGTAATTGCAAGGTTTGTAATTGCAAGCCAGGCTCTGAGTGTCCAGATCACAGTCATGTGACTGGGTTCTTCCTTGTGATGACTGGAACCCTCAAGACCAGTCATAAGTCTCCCTTGTTCAGCACTATTGTAAGTTTGAATGGTCGCTGAAAGAACAGATGTAACCTGAGCCTTATCTTTTGCAAATGCTACCATGCAGGTTTTTGTTTTCTAGAAATTACTGAACAGTTGTGACTATTTTATTATGAATTAGGTGGTATCATCATTGATGTTCACATGTGATCAATTTAAGGTGAAGAGAAATATTCTTACCAAATGTTATTTAGTTGAATGGAATATAAATGAATTGCAGCGACAAAAGAAACATTGGGGATTATTTTAATCTCATCATGAATTTTTCCCCTTCTTCATCGCTCTCAGGCAAAGCTAGTAGAAAGAATCAAAAGTGGAGAGGACCTGATGAAAATATCAGAGCCAACCTTCGCCAGTACGGTTTGGAGAAATACTACCTTGACATATTTGTTTCTGATGCATCAAAACCCATATGGAGGAAGGGAGTGCAATTTGACGCAATCATTACAGATCGTAAGTTAAGATGCAAAACCAGAAATAGGGTTATACAAGCTTATTTCTGTGAATGAGTAAATAAGCATTTGTTCTCATAACCCCTCTTCAAAAAAAGTAAAGTTAGTACATGTGAAGCATCTTAATTTCAAATGTAATGCTTGCATCTGGAATTTCCATAAGCTAACAGATAGGAATTCTAGGTGTGCATTGCAAAATATGATGGTTTCTCCTTTAGTTTTCCAACCAAGTTACAATCATTTCCAATGAGTATAAATTATTAACGACTTAATAATATTAATGGAATGCTGCATTGTTTGCTGCACGTATGTTATATGTCTTGTTGCCTTTCCTTCTTTCTTTGTTTCTAGAGTAATACCATATGTCAAAGTTTTCCTGCCTTTGTTTATTGGGCTACTTTTTTATTGGGATTGGTTAGAAAAATTCTAGTAATAAGCTAAATGAGCTAAAATAAGCTAATAAGCTAAAATACCTCTTTGCTATGTATGATTATGTAATCTAAGAAATGTGACTTGGTTGGAAAAGTAATACGCAATTTAACACCATACCAACGAAATATTCACATGGAATAAATAATGTAAAATTATTTTTTGTTTAAATTGAACCTATTTAACTCTATTAGTTGTTGAAGCATTGTGAATTTCATAAAAGTAATAAAATCCCATTTTTAATGCTTCCTTTGAATCAATACTTTTTAATGAATCAATATTTAGAAGGTATGAATTATAGCATTATCTTTGCTCTGTTTCCCTCAGAGCAAAAGTGTAAATTAGTGGTTTAATACTGATGGTAAAATGAATTCTCTCATTAATCACTTCCAAAAATATTTTCCATAGAGTATAGAAAAATCTAAAGTATCTTTCATTTATTAATAATCATCCGACATTTAGAGGAGAAGGGGCACGTAAATCTAATAAACAAATAAAATAATATTTAAATGTGAAAATGGACTAAAATATTAAACTTACTATAAAGTAAAGTAAGAATAGTTTTACAACAGTGTTGAAGTGTGAACAATTAAAAATGTACAGTTTAAATGCTGAATTAAATGTAAAATAAAAAGCAGTGTGGAGACCACAACTGCTGTGAAAGCTCTCTGGAGAAGGAGAAAAGGGGAGGTTGCCCACAGATGCTTGGAATGACAGCTGAGATCCTTGTGAGGAGACAGCAGCCTCCCACAGGTTTGAGTGCCAGGAGCCAAGGGAGACAATCTTTGCTCTCACCAGCATTAGAACTTTTAAAACTTGACCTTAATTCAGCTAAATTCACTTTCTAATAAGTCAGAAATGCTCAATTTAACCACTTTATGGCTTTCACAGACCTTCAAGACGGCAAGCTTAATTTGACACCTGGTATGTTTTACTTTTTTTGGATTTAGGAAATTTTAAACAGAAACTTAGGAATTTTTTTAAAAATATACATTTGGCAAAAAAAAAAAAAGTTAAAGTTTTAAGTGGATTGGAAGACCAGAGAGATTTGGAATATTGGTTATTTTTGTGATAACATTTGAAAAACAAGTATACAATTAAATAATATATTTGTGGGAAACAACCACAAATTGGGGAAAAGATCTGGACGTAAAACAGCTGCAACAAGAAACACTGGGTGATGCCATTTTATGAGATTTACAAAGTAGGCTGGTGAAAGCTTTGAAGGCTCCTCCTGAATGCCAAGGATTGCTGAAAGATCAAATCTTGTGATACCATTGGAATGATTTAAAGGTTAACATTATGAAGAGCAAAAGGGAGAAATATAAAGATGGGAGTATTTGTTCAGGGATAAACTATTTGTTTGACATTTCTGGTAACTTGTAATGGACTTTGCTGAACCAGAACTGAAAAGATGACAATTTCTGGATTGTGTATGGATAGAAGAGTTTTTATCTGTGACTTTAAAAAGGGGATGAAAAGTTACTATAGCAGCTTATGCTTGGTGTGATGAAGGTTGGAAGCTATTTTATTATTGTCTTTGTTGCCTTTTTCTTTTTCTTTTCTTTTTCTTTTTTCTGCACTTTCTGAATTTTTATTGTGGCTTTTTCCTCTTCTAGTTTACTTTTGATTCGTTTTTACTAGATTTATTAAAAATACATAAATTATAAAGAATTACAGTTTAAATGCTGAATCAAATGATTTAAGTTAATGAACAGTGCCTTCTAGTCCTTGATTCAATGGAGCCTTTTATAACATTTCACTGGTTTCAGTTTGGGGTTTGTTGAGATTAATGGAACCTTTGTAAGCGCTCCCATATATTATCCAGAATTGCATCAAAGTTCTGCTGCATGTTTAACAAAACTTTAAACCTGATGCATGAGCAAGGGAATAGTCCTTTTTAAGGAGGGGGAAGAGCATGGTGACAGACCACCCATCATTTCCAAAGCTCGGTGGATCTTAATGGTGAATTAATTAATTAAAACAATTAGCCCAAGGGAGCTTAGAGGTCTGGATAGCAGCAGATGGGGGTGCCTCCTCTACGTTCTGACTCTGAAAAGCCATTGCACAAAAGAAGAATTGCTTTCCAATATCATGATTTTATCATTATAAATACTTGCATTCTGTTTCCCATTCCCTTGAGATGCCCAAAGTAAGTGGTAAAGACAGTAAAAAGCCATTCAGGCCAGAGCTCACTGAATAACCTTTTTTAAAAAAGGATTTGTATTATGTTCAGATAAAACCAGCTAAGCCAGCAGGATCAAATTCAGTTAGCTGAACATTGATTTGAAGACAGAGGTCTCATCTCTCTAGCTAAGAATTCTGTGCTGTGTTAAAAGATTAGCCGATGTATTACAGCATAGCCTTCTGTGGGTTAGTTCGTCAGTCAAGTCTTTATCAGTGACCAGATATAGGGTAGAACATCAGAATGGATGGGCTAATCTGTGTGGGAACACCAGGTTATTTTAACTATCAATAGGATTTTAAATACAACAGGTCTCCTTTGGGTCCTTGAATGAAGTCAGTGTAGTTGGTTCAACAATTGGATTACAGGCTTTGAATGTAGGTATATCTGTTTGTATATTAAGACTATGGAGAGAATACTTGCTGTTAATGTAGCAGTAGCAGCTAAAATTTCAGAGTTGTGTAAACCAATATGTGTCTTGTATTTATTTTCTTTGTAGCACCATATGGCATTCGGGAAGCCACCAGAAAAATTGGTTCACAGCGGGAAACACCAAAAATGATTGAAAAAAGGTAGGCAGAGCTTGGATTATGAATCACAAATCTGAACAGAAAGCTAGCTGTGGCTGTGAAAACATTTGCTGAATGCTGTAATCTTCTGCCAAAGTAGTAACCAATTCAATCATGCTGTTTTTAATTAGAGAGTTTTTATATAGCATTTGCTTGGTTTGTGTATCTCTTGTTCTTCTCGGATAAATTTTGGGATTAGGAATTTATCTAAATTATTGCTCCCATATGGAAAATAGTGGTGCATTTTGGTGTAATCTCTGGAAAATAGATAAAATGGGCAAAAGAAAAGATTATTCACTAATATTAATTAGAGTTCTTCATCTAAATCTTACCAGATGTCATTGTAACTTTGAAGACCGGCAATAACAGTTACTAACATGCTGCATACATGGAAGAGCAGGTTTTCTCTCATGCATGTTTGAAACGTGTATGTTTTTGAAGTTTTGGTTTATATGCTGAACAGGGCTGTTTTGTTCTTGATATGGAATGAAACATATTTCTGGACAAGAGTGGTTTTGAGAAGTGAGAGCAGACAAAATCCTCGCATGGTCCGTGGTAGCTAAGGAGATGTGAGGAGAGGAAGGCTATGAAAAGGCAGACAGTGGGTTAAGTCACACTGAGGTAATAGCAGTAGCTTGTGGAAGAGGATCAAACAAGCATTAAAGCCCCTTGGAGGAAGAGGGGAAGCCATGCACTCCACTTTTGCCATATTCAGCCTATTAAATCATTCTGGGATTCTGTGGGTTTTATTTTGGCAAAGACTCAAAAACATTATGGGTTTTGTTTTGCCAAACCATGGCTGATCTGAAGTAGTCTGGCTGAACTTTTGCAATATAATTGATTATTTGGGGTTCAAAGCACAATCTATCTTCTGTTTCATCCAAACTCCTATAAATAATTGAGTTTGTAAAGCCAATTCCATATTAGACATGTGTTATGCGTGTCAGTAATGCTATGTTTTAAAGTATTGACCAGAAATCGTCAGTTTGAAATCTGTACTAAGTATAATTTTGCATCATTTACCTTTCAAAGTCCCACTCCATCTCCCACCAAAGTTTATTAAATTTAATCGCTATGTGTTTTTCCAGATCCTTTTTGTTTTAATTTCTATATTACTGCTACAATTTTGATCCTCTTATAAAGAGTGCATTAAACTTTCATAAATTCAAATTTTATATGAGAAATTCTATTTACGCTTATTCTTAATTAGAGTGAACAGACCAAGCAGATTAATGTATTTTTAAAAGTTGGGAAAAAACCTTTTCATGTGATAGATAATAAATACTTGGTTTTTGTTCTTACTGTGAAACATCCAAGTATCAATAACTGTTACTAATTACTTTTCAAACTATTTCCTAGCACTGAAAATCATAACCTAATTTCTTCAAATTATCAGCTGAGTGATATAATCTTTGACCTGTTAAAATTTGCGGCAAAGTATTTGGTTCTTGGAGGAAGATTGGTCTACTGGTTGCCTGTATACAAACCAGAGTAAGTCCCTATTTTATATTACAATAGTTCTCAGATTTTAATATATAGAACAGGAGAGAATAGATTCTGAAGTTGGGTGGGATATTTTCCCTATTTGTATATTATTTTGTTACAAACACATGGTAATCAGTGAGTACTAAACACTGTGGATATTTGCTAGATTTTACTGAAAATGAAATCATTTGGATTTATTGGTAAACAATTTGCAGCTTGGAAAATGGGTATTAATTACATATGTAACTGATCCTTACTCTAATAAGCTCAGGATGGTAGAAACATATTTCTCAGATTTAGAAAAACAGATTAGCATTGTATGTACAGCTTTTTTAAAAAATGCTTCTATTAGGCAGATTTTAATAATTTATTTAAATAACTGCTGCAAGAAAATTCCACATGGTATATTTATCCTTTTTAAACCAAACTTTTATCTGCAATGTATCTTTTGAATTT